TGTTTCACAATTGGCCAATAATAACGTGTTATTCAATTTCATGTGACGACCAATCACGAGAAAGTTATCCTATATCTCCTGTTCCCTAATTTGGCAGTTTCTCTCCTGTAGTATCTAACACTGTTCGTAGACGTTACACATGAGCATTCACCTAGGAAACACTAATTACATATCTTATATAAGCTTAATCAAATTAATTTTTATAATTATTAAACCATTAAGCTTAAACATGGTGTGAAATAAAAACCACTGCACAATAAAGATTCGATATCGATTTTTTTAGTATAATGTAGCTTTACTACAGTAGTCATAATCTCCTTAAAAACTCTATATCGATATATTTGCTTTTTAAAGCATGCGGGAATGGCAAATAAGTCACCCGTCAACTGATGATTTACATCAAGCAAATAATATAAACGTGTTAACTTTGTTAACCATTATCGTCATACAAAGTTAATTTCTGGTTCTCATGAAGTTTTAAAAAATGACCCGGCAACCCGACTTTTAATTTTATTTCCAAAACAATATATAAAAATTTTTTTTGCTGATTCCCATCCGGATAATGTAAGTTTTGCAAAATTTGACGCGGCCGGGTTATGAGAAACATTATGAAATTTGTACGTACGTACGTATTGCCTAATATACACGTGTTTCTGCATGTTTTAAATCTAGCGCTAGTATTTCTAAAAATTACCACCACTCAATAATGCCACTACCCATTCTTGGCCGTCTAAACTTTCGCGATTACCAGGCATTGGTAATCGGTCTCATTTTTTTATTTCTCGAAGGCCTTCTTCGAGTTGTCACGCATTGTCTCCCAACATTTGCGCTAGAGTACTTTAAAGGACAAAGCCAAAAGTATGCTTCGAGAATATATATGCAGCACATATGTGTAATCTATTTACAAACTTGTTTTTTTTTGTTTGTTATCAAAAAGGTTATTCTCGATGCGATACAAGGAAACGCGAACACGTCCGGCAAAAAACATGCAAACTGCCAAAACTTTTCGGGAAATGGCTAAATATTGGTGAATTTTTTTTCTTTCTTTTTCTTGTTACTATCATTCAAATTCTTATATATATTTTTAAGGGGATATACTATAGAAGAGCACATTGTTAGAACACAAGATCATTATATCCTCGGAATTCACCGCCTCCCCGAGGGAAAATATTTAACTAGTGATGCTAATTCAAAAGCCCATATAGAGTCTATATTTGATAAATGTGGTATCTCTCATACTGCCATTCGGATTGAACAAGCGCGCTCTTCAAACGAAATAAAGCCAGTAGTTTTATTATACCACGGACTTATGATGTGTAGCGAAATTTGGATGTGTAATTTAGACGAAGAGAGAAGATTGGCTTGCTTGTTGGCAGACGCTGGGCATGTTTAATTATACATTACACGTGTTATCGTTTTTTGTTTTGTTTAGTAATTATATTTTGATGTAATATAAAATGTAGATACGACGTCTGGTTTGGTAATGCTCGAGGAAATAAATATTCTATGAAACATTCTAAGTATAAGCCGAGCTCAAGAAAATTCTGGGAATATTCTATGGATGAATTTGCCTTATACGATTTACCAGATACCATTGACGTAACTATTCTTCATTCATTTCGTAATTACTGAATTAATGTTTTACGTTTAAATAAACAAACATACGTACTTAACTGTATACTACAATCTTAATATAGTATATTCTTGAGACAACTGGTGCTCCCTCTCTTACATATATTGGATTTTCACAAGGAGCAGCACAAGCTTTTGCAGCTCTTTCAATCAATCCAAAACTTAACAAAAAGGTTAATCTTTTTGTTGCCTTGGCTCCGGCTACTAGTCCTAAAGGTAAATAATTTTACACTTTATTATTCATTATATGAGAATATTATAATCATTTATTCATTATTTTTACTCAGGTTTACAAAATCCAATTGTTGACGCTTTTATCAAGGCTTCACCTAATATTGTATATCTCTTTTTTGGACGCAAGGCATTTCTTACTATGACAATGTTTTGGCAGAGAGTTCTTTCTCCTCCAATTTATACAAAATTACTTGATACATGTATGAAATTCCTCTTTGGTTGGTCTGGAAAGAATATGAAAGAAGAACAAAAAGCCGTTTCATATTATCACTTGTATAATTTTACAAGTGTTAAAAGCTTGGTGGTATGTGAATTATAACTTTCTATTAATATTACCTAATTAACGATTATTTTGACTTATAAATTTTCATAGCATTGGTTTCAAATAATTCGTGCCAATAGCTTCCAAATGTATGATGAATTACCACCATATTCATCACCTACTGCCATGGGCCATTATTGTCACAAATTTCCCACAGAACAGATCCAAACTCCTATTAGTGTGTTCTATGGAGGAAGTGACAGTTTAGTGAATATTGAAGTTCTTCTAAGCCAACTACCTAAACCAGTGTTTGCTAAGGAGGTGCCACCTTATGAGCATTTGGGTGAGTAACCAATTTTTAAATATTTACTATTATGTTAACTAACGCGAGTACAATTCTTGTTTTAGATTTCATATGGGCATCCGATGTACACACGCATGTTTTTCCGGAATTATTTAACCTCTTGCGAAAGTATAATAGTTATGATAACGAGAAAGATATCAAATTAAATGATCATGAATATTAATATAATTAAATATTCGGCACGATTGATTTCATGTTAATTTTATAGTGGCAAAGTGTATTTTTTAGGCGTCGGTCTTTACCACGCAAAATTTAAAATATACAAAAACAATTTATATAAATAAAACCTTAATCTACGGTATAAAAGTATTAAATAATTTATATTAGATCGCATCAAACCAGAATTTTCAGGACAGCACATTATTATTAACAAGGTTACCGTAGTACACTGACTTAAAGACCCGGGGTCTAATATAAAAAAAGATACCCGGGGGTATTTTGACGTCACTGGATCAACATTTTGAATTTTAAGGTAAAGATACCTGTTTCCGTGGATCTACCTATTTCCGTGGATTAAATTTATTATAGTATATAAAATAAAAAAAGCAATTTTTTAAAAATATAAAATTGAAATTTCTGAGATTACTTAATAAACAATTCTTAGAGAATTAATAAAAGTTGTAGCAACCACAATGCAGTTCTAATGACAGTAAAAATGACAAATCCGGTCTAGTATATCAAAAGTTATGAGCGATTTATGTTTTGCGACCATATAAAATTTTTATATAGATTTACAAAGAAATTTATATTATCGTGAAATGTAAATCGCTCATAACTTTTGATCTACTGGACCGAATTTAATGTTTTTGCCATCATTAGAACCACATTGACGGTGGCTACAAGTTTTATTGATTCTTAAGAGCTGTTTACTTAATAAATAATTTTAGAAATTTCAATTTTATATTTTAAAAATTGTAAGAAATCTTTCTAGAAAATAAATAGATAAATAATAAAATAAAAGATAGTAAAAAAAAGAAAAACAAAGTATAAAAAATAATTAAAAAAATTTTTTAAATTTTTTAAATTTTCTAATACAGTCAACCCCTCTATAGTGACCCCCTCTTTAATCACATTATATAAAATACCCCTCATCACATTCAGTACTCAAAAACAAATTACTATTAATTATATAAAAAACCATCTCTATATAATCACAATCTCTTTATAAGCATATTTTTTAAAAAGTTTTTAAGTAAACAAAATGTGTGATTATAGAGGGGTTGACTGTCGTTTATATTACTGTATATCCATGATAACAGAAAAGATGATATCAAATTTTATAAATTTTATAAAATTTTTCTTTACTAATCCTAAAAAAAACTTTATATATTAGTATAATTTAATTTGTATGTTTTTAAATAATAAATTAATTGTAAATTTTATATTTAAAGTTTTATATCAAAAATATTAATTTTTGAAAAGTTTTATATATAGCAAAAAAAAGTCATCAGAAATAGGTATCTTTATCTTATATTACATAATATTACTATATATTACATCTGAGGTATTTTATATAAAAAAGAAACTTTTAGTTAATGTGATAATTAAATCAGAATCACATTAATCAAATTATAGAGTTTGAATATTTACTGGTAAAGCAAAACAAGAATAAAAAATACAAAAAAACAGAAGTTAATCTACCTTGGATAGATTAAGTAAAAAATGTTAGAAAAGCAATTTTACATATATATAATTATATAAATCTAATTTAGCTCTAATCTAAAATGATCCTAACTTTAAAGTTAATAAATAAATATATATAAGAATCTATTTTGTTT